ATATATATATTTTTTTATTTTTCACTTTTAGTGGGTAATGTAAAAAAATTTCCCACAGTTTTTGATAATTTACATACCCACCATCAGTCAGTGAGAGGACTTCGTATTTCATGTACCATCATAATTGGTATTATCAGTTTGTTTTTTAATTTTAGCCATTTTGGTAGGTAAATAGTGATCTCTCATTGTGATTTTAGATTGGGTAATAAAAAAAGAAGATTCACCTGTATGCCATCTACAGGAGAAACATTTCATTTACTTTTTTAAAGATTTATTTATTTGAGAGGGTGTAAAAGGAGGGAGAGGGAGAAGCAGACTCCCCGCTGAGCAGGGATCCTGATGTGATGAGGGACTCCATCTCAGGACCCTGACCTGGACCAAAGGCAGACACTTAACTGACTGAGCCACCCAAGTGCCCCCAGAATATACATTCTTAAGTGCTCATGGAACTTTCTCCAGGACACATCACATGCTACACCATAATACAATCTTCAATAAATTTAAAAGGACTGAAATCATACAAGTATTTCTCTGATAACAAAGGAATGAAATTAAAAATAATTAACAGAAAGATGGGGCGGCTGACTGGCTCAGTCAGTAGAGCATGTGACTTTTTTTTTAATTTAAGATTTTATTTATTTATTTGACAGAGAGAGACACAGCAAGAGACGGAACACAAGCAGGGGGAGTGGGAGAGGGAGAAGCAGACTCCCTGCTGAGCAGGGAGCCCGATGCAGGGCTCAATCCCAGGACTCTGGAATCATGACGTGAGCCGAAGGCAGACACTTAACGACTGAGCCACCCAGGCGCCCCAAGCATGTAACTCTTGATCTCAGGGTTGTGAGTTCAAGCCCCACATTGGATATAGAGATTACTTAAAAATAAAATCCTTAAAAATAAAAAGAAAGAATTAGCAGAAACAAATTTGGGAAGTTCAAAAATAAATGGAAATCAAACTGTCCTTTTAAATAACCAGTGGGTAAAAGAAGAAATCCTAAGAGAAATTAGAAAATACTTTGAGATGAATGAAAATGAAAACACAGTATACCAAATCATGTGTTGCGGCAAGATCAGTGTTTAGATAGAAATTTATACGGGGCGCCTGGGTGGCTCAGTCGTTAAGCATTTGCCTTTGGCTCACGTCATGATCCCAGGGTCCTGGGATCGAGTCCCGCATTGGGCTCTCTGCTCCACAGGAAGCCTGCTTCTCCCTCTCCCACTCCCCCTGCTTGTGTTCCCTCT